GGGTTTTTCTGGCGAGGTCTGCGGCCACCGGCAGCGCGTTCCCCTTGGAAGGTTTCTGCTGACCAGATGCAGCACCTGCCGCTGGCTTTGCCCCGCAGGTGGGCCCTTTAGAGCCTGTTGGTCGCACTGCTGATGTGCTCGCCTTCAGGAAATTGGGCTCTGAGCTTTCGACGAGGCTGTTTTTCAGGTTAAGGTGTTTGTGTTGAAAGTCCGTGGCTTTATTAAGGCTTATGATGCCTTTAATTTCTTACACGGTCACGGATGAGACATTTTTTTTTTGTAAATCATTAGAATAGTAAGATCAGAAGGGTAAAAGTATTGAAAAAGTTGCCAAGGTAGTTCTTTTACAAGTCATTATTTTGTAGGTAAGTGTTCCAGGCAGTATGAGTGCATTTTCAGTGTTTTTAAAAGCACATTCTTCTGAAAATACTCATCTGTTCCTTCTTACAGCTTTCTCTTTTGCTGTTGTTAGCTGCCAGAGGAGAGTAATTTCTCTTTACAATAATTAATTAATTGGTGGCAACCAGCATAGTTAGTGGAAACCAACATGACTTGACCAAACGCAAATAGTGCCTGACAAATTTGGTGGCTTTTTACTGTGGGGTATCAGTGAAAAGGGGCAAGCATCAGTGTCATCTGCCTGGACTTGGGCAAAGTATTCAACACTGTCCTGCAAAACATCCTGGTCTCTACATTGGAAAGATAGTAATTTGATGGATGGGCACTTGTTGGACAAGGATTTGGCTGGATGGTCATACCCAAAGAAAAGTCATTGACAAGCTGGAGGCAAGGGAGGCCATCCAGAGGAACCTTGACAGGCTTGAGACATGGCCCCGTGCCAACCTCATGAAGTTCAAGAAGACCAAGTGCAAGGCCCTGCACCTGGGTTGGGGCAATCCGAAGCACAATTACAAGCTGGGTGGAGAATGGATTGAGAACAGTCCTGAGGAGAAGGATGCGAAGCTCAACATGAGCCAGCAATGTGCACTTGCAGACTAGAAAGTCAACTGTCTTGTGCTGCATCAAAAGAAGTGTGACCAGCAGGTCAAGGGACATGATTCTCCCCCTCTGCTCCACTCTTGTGAGATCCCACCTGCAGTACTGTGTCCAGTTCTGGAGCCCCCATCATAAGAAGGACATGGAGCTCTTGAAGCAAGTCCAGAGGAGAGCCATGAAGATGATCAGAGGCCTGGACCACCTCTGCTATGCTGAGACAGGCTGAGAGAGTTGGGGCTGTTCTGCCTGGAGAAGAGAAGGCTCCGGGGAGACCTTAAAAGTGGCCTTCTAGTGCCTGAAAGGGTCCTACAGGAAAGCTGGGGAGGGACTTTTTACAAGGGATTGTAGGGAGAGGACAAGGGGTGATGGCTCTAAACTGAAAGAGGGTAGGTTTAGGTTAGACATTAGAAGGAAATTCTTCACTGTGAGGATTGGTGAGACAGTGGCACAGGTTGCCCAGAGAAATTGTAGAAGCCTCCTTCCTGGAAGTGTTCAAGGTGAGGTTGGATGGGGCTCTGAGCAACCTGGTCTAGTGGGAGGTATCCCTGCCCATGCAGGAGGATTGGAACTAGATGATATTTAAGATCCCTTCCAACCCAAACTGTTCTATGATTAATACTGAAATACTGATGGATTTTATCTGTTGCATGACAAAAACCCCACACAATTTAGAAAACAGTGGTGTGCCATATACATGCTAAATAGCCCAACAGAACATTTAAGCAGTATTAGGGCATGAGTGTTGTCCAGTGTCATTTTTAGAATGTAAATTTGTCCAGTGCCATTTTAAGAATATAAATTTGGTTTTGTTAGTTGTTTGTTAGTTTTGTTTCTTAGTCACTTCATGGCTTAGGACACCAGATTTGGAAAATTAATTTACAAAATATATGCAAAATAGTAGTTAACATTGCTTCTTCTGCATATTATTTTTTGGTCTTTATGTTTGTTGTAATTCTGCTGTATTTTGTACATTATAAAAGTTAGGACAATGCCTACATTTAAAAAAACCCTACCTATATGTGATTGTACATTGTCATTATTAAGGGTAAAAGAATCTTCAATTTGCTAAGGTTTTAGAAATAAATTAGGGATTTTTAAAAAAAAAAAGAAATCAAGAAAAAATTAATGCAAAATCTGGTTTCCTAGTTCTGTGCTTTTCAGCTGACCCACACTGCTCTCCCTGACTTAAAAAAGTAAACTGCTTGTATTGCAACTGAGTTAGTCACAAGAAGGTACAGAGGAGTGTGGCTGTTGTTCAAAATGGTTATTCCTGATAGCTTTTAATGACCTTGATGAATGAATAAAATAGTAAGATACTTCAAATGAATTCAGTTTTACAAGATACTACAGTACAAAATGGTTCTTCTTGTCTTGAAGTATCATATTCTGTGGGAGTTTTTACTAGTATTTTTAGAAAGCTTTAGTCCCTTTTTATGAGCCTTTTTGTTCCACCTGCTGGTATGGGTTAAAACTATATTCAAAAGCTTTTCACTCTTTTGACTATTAGGACCTGCTTTTTCTTCTGTTCCATGTTATTTTTACTGACAAACCACATGTTGTGTTTCAGCTAAAAATACTTCTCATTTCTACCAACTGGACATGCTTGTATCATCCTGTTAGAGCAGAAGGTACTTGAGGCATTAAGCTGAGGGGTTCTAGATGAGAGGCTTGCTGGCTGTGACTCCCTCTGTACACCATGGTGAGAGATGTCTCCAGAGAACAAGTCACAGCATTAATGGCTCCCTTTGGATCCCCATCTCTCTCTAAGTGTTTGAAGTTAGATGGGCTGAACCTGGACTGTAACTTCTTATCTTTGAAAAGAAGAAAAGTGGCCTGTCCAGTCACAGACCCTGAAACCTGGTCCCAGTCTCAAGCAAAGCTTCGGAAAATCTCAAATTTGCCATATTAATAAGCTATTGATAAAATATTTTATATGATGTCATCTGAAAAGGGATGAGAATATGTGGCTTAGGAGAGAAACTGCGAAGTGAGATAGCCACAAGTAAGGTTGAAAAGGAAGATGTCAAGCTTGAAGTGTTGGTTCTGGATGGTCTTATTTGGTATTTTTTGTAGTAGTCCTGATAAAATCAGTAAAAGCATACTCATGAAATCTCATAATGGTATATATTTAGGAATCATCATAAGTACAGAGAATATCTCAGGAGATGTACCTCCAGGAAGTATTAATGTCATCATTTAAGGTTCTGGTGAAATCTCATTTGAGGTACTGTGAAAATTTCTAATTAATTGTTCTATAGCCGAGCTAAGGTTGAACTGAAAGAGGGGTAGAGGGAGGTTAGATGCATCAGAAGAGAGCTTGAGAACCTTTCGTACAAACAGATTTTAGGATGACTTAGCTTGTTTACTTCAATAAAACAAAAACAGAGGAGAAACAAGCCCATGCTGTCTATAAATATATCATGAAAGTAAACACGAAGGATGAAAACCATGTAATTTGCAGGGCAACACTGACTCGAGTACAAACAGATATGTACTATCCAGGAGATTCAGAAGGATGTTTCTGGTTATTACAGCAATCATTCTGAAACAGCTTTTTCATTGAATTAGTGGGAGCAAAAATATACCTGTTTTTAATATGGCACTTGATAAATTTATGGGACTGTTGTACAACACAACTTTCTGTAATAGCAGGGAACCAGACCCTGTCTTTCAGGAGGACCTTTCTGTCCTGTATTACCCTGCCAATTCATAGTACAAATAGCAGAACATTTTGTCCAGACCTATGGTTCATAATATGGGAAGGACTTCTCAGTCTGATGTAAATAGTAGATAGGCTTCTGGAGGCTTCGTATGCATGCAAAAGTTCAACTGTGCTACTATGACTTCAGAAAAGCAGGTAATGCCAGCATTATAGAAAAGAACATAAAAAAGAGAATGGGTAAAAGAACTTTTATGTGAGACAAAGAAAGCATGGGGAAGTTGCAAGGGGCAGGAAGGTTATCAGCAAAGTTCTTCTGGTCTAGAGATGCTAGCAGAGCTACTAACTAATGTTATTCAGCTCATGTAATCAGTTCACATCTCAACCTCAAAAAAGAGAAGAAAAACTGGTCTCCTATGTGTGTTATGAGTTGACATAACACTAGATTTATTTCAGCACTGAGCAAGCTCATGCCACCAAGCTTGTAGCAGGAGGGAATTAGGTAACATTCCATTTGAAATGTGCCACTGT